GTTATATTTGTTTTAGTTTCTGCTTCACGCTTCAAATCTCTTCTCAGAAGTGATAAAGGATGGTCTAAAAGTTTCGACCTCTCTCAATAAATCGATGATATGTATAACACACTTATATGAAATTATTGATCAAATTATGTCATTTTGTAGCGGAAGATTAGAGCAATCATCTGCAAAAAGATAGTTCCAAACACATAAATCTATTACAATCTTATGGTCATTTTACCAATCATAAGTGAAAAGTTTTACGTTACATTTTTTGTAAAAAGAAAATGTGCTGACAACATCTTAAGCGACAGTTTGTTTTCTAGATATTTTTACATGACTCGATAAAGATCGAAAAGCTCTACCAGAATATAAACGTTTAAAAAATATTTGAGCTTATTTTCAATGCAAAATTTGCAGAAAACCAGAAAGACTAATAAAACTTTCATGCATCAAATATTAAAGAGAGTAAGTTGAGCTTTCAAAAATTTTAGCCGATTGACTGTTCCATCTATTTAGGCAGTTCAGAAGAGTTATTTTCAGCTTCAGTATGTGACGCTGTATTTGAAACATCAATTAACAGTCGATCAACTAAAGTTTTTGAAATTTAACCATACTATCTCATGAAACATATGTAGGATTTTTATTAGTCTACGTGTTTTTTTTCGAGTTTTGTATTGGTAACAGGATTCGAATTTTTGTTGATATTCATATTCTTGTGGATCTTGTTGAACTCTATCGAACCGTATAAAAATATCTATTAAAAACATGTAGAAAATAATATTTGATTCGACTTTTATGGCTTCAACATTGAAGAGGTTTTGCTTTTTTCAAAAAAATGTAGCGTAAAAATTTTCACTTATGATAGGTAAAATGAACATAAGATTGTTATAGATTTATGTATTTCGAACTGGTTTTTTTCAGATGATAGTTCTAGTCTCCTTCTACAAAACGACATAATCTGATTAATAACTTCATATAGGTTTGTAATAAATATCATCGATTTACTGAGAGGGGTCGAAAGTCTTGGACCACTATTTATTATATTGCCCTTGATAATTGAATATTGAAAACTAATATATCTATACGAATACTTTTTAAAGAGCGATAAGGCATTTGGTATAAATTATAATAAATAATTGTTGCTTGAAAAAGGAGTTATGGTAATATCGATCAGCTGATTTTACTTTTGTTATTCTGTTGATAATCGGAGAGTGATTGTGCCATTTTATTTTATGGATAGCCTACGTCGGGTTTGTTTCATAAAAATTAGGTACTAGATTTTGTGTAATAAAATACGTCTTGTTCACGTTCTCTAAACATAAACAGAAACCGAAGAAATGACAAAAACAAGTTGACTCGGTACTGTTACGAAATGATTCAGACTCGACTCGAGACCAGCCTTGATGCAAACTTTTACAAACAATAGCTTGGTAAAATGTAAACTAGACATTCAGTGCACAACATTCTCTATAGAAGTTATAGTATGATATATGGAGAAATCCTGTGAAAGGTTTGTAAAATGACTTAGCTTTCATTTTATTGTAGTAAATTACGAGGATAAACACTCAAAGGGATGGTATTCAATCATTCCAGTCGTCATAATATGTAGTAGTTTAGCTATTTTGTAATTTCGATTGAGTATTATTATTATTATTCATGACTAAAAGATTGTTTTTTCTTATACCGTCAACAGTTTGACATCCAAATAACATCATAGCCAATCGAAATTCTTTTTTCAATATATCCAACACATTTTTTATACCTTGGATTCCATCTTCTGCCAAACTCCATAACACTGGCCGTCCGATAAGCACTGCTTTTACACCCAGTGTCACAGTTTTCAAAATATCTGTTCCTCGTCATACACCCCCATCGATATGAACATCGATTTGATGAACTTCACTACTAATAGCATTCATGATATCTGGTAAAGCAACAATGGTACTTTGACATGTATCCAAGTGTCGAGCACCATGATTCGAAACAATAATTCCTTCTACTCCATGTTTAACAGCTTCACGGGCATCATCTGAATGCATAATATCTTTGATAATGAGGGGTAATGAAGTGATCGACCGTATCTATTTAAGGTCTTTTCACGGTAATGACGCATCAATGGGTGCTCGACAATAAGCTTTAGCAAAATCATTACATTTATCATCAATTATGTTTTCCACTTGAATACCGTAAGGTAATGAAAATTGATTATGGATATCACATTCTCTGTTGCCTACTTCGCAATGATCAACGGTAACCACTAAAGCTTTATAGCCACATCTTTCAGCATGTTCGATTAGCCTCTGAGTATCTTGACGATTTTTGAATACATATAGCTTGTACCGAAGCTGTGAAGTACTTCGAGGATAATTTGCTTTAATTTGCTCCCAGTGTTCGTCGGCAATCCGCTCCATGCATATTGATACCATAGTACTGATACACATTATTGTCGAACAAGCAACAGCTGCACGAAAAGTTGCTAATTGTCCATGTTCATTACTAGATAGTCGATGTAAAGCTGTTGGAGCAAGAATGCATGGAAATGAAATTGTTATCGTAGAATTTAAAAGATGTGTTTGACAACTGACGGAATTTAGTGCTGAATGAGATGATACATCAATGAGTATTTTTGGACTCAATTTTATTCGATGAAAAGCTTGTTCATTATCAATTAATGTTAACTGATCATCTGAACCAGTACAATAAAAATCATAGATCATTTGTAGTGTATTTTCTTTTCACTTGTTGATGATAATCTTCCACGTTCAATAGAGCTCGCTCTGGTTGCGTCAGAGACGTTTCCGATTTTTTTCAACGTCTTGCATGATCTGATATTTTTTGTATCAAAAAATATGATAAAATGTACGGATCTTAGTGATGAAAAAGGTAAAAATCATTATTTGCTTTGCTCTTTGTTTTCGTTTCACTCTTATCTCTATTGAAAAATGTGAGGCCCTATAGCCTCATTCAACATTTCTATATCTCAATGTTGATATCTTGAGTAAAACAATAGAAGATGAAAGGCATAATAGACAAGAAGGAGAACTGACTGTCGATTGCAGCAGTGCACAAGACCACACTTTCATCTTCAAATATATCTTAATTAATATAGCTGCAAGAGCGAAAATGATACAGATAATATATTTTTCTAATTTTCACAATTATAAAACTGGATGCACTGAAGAGGAACTCCTCTTTCTCAGTCCTTAGATACCTCTCAAAGATTAAAAACATACATGTTTTTTGGAAGAAATCTAAAGTCCACTCGCTCGCGATGCTTCCTGGATAATGCTAAGAGATTTCTACACACAATAAAAAACCTTTTCTAATATGTACTCCATGCTTCAGTAATGGTTTCATTTATTGCATTTCCCAGAATTCATAATAAAGGGTGTGGGTGTGAATGTCGGCCTAAAGGAATTTTATACCTCACACCCACACCACGAAATGCTAAACCATGTGTTTACTTTGATTTAATTATATTTTATATCTATGGGCAATAGAATCATAGCTATTCATTATTTTCAATTCATTGATTTCCTTAATTTTAAAATTCACTCCAACATTAGTGTATGATATCGAAAACAAGAACTCAAGCATGGTTATTAATATTTTAGTTACTATCTCCAACTACTCGTGATATTTATCATGATGATCAAGATTCAACAACTAATACTGATGATTGTTATTTATATTTTATGAACTTGTGATTGAAAACAGCAAAAATTGAAAATAAGATAAAACAAATAAAAAATATAGAATATATAAACAACGTTTTGATATTAAACATATTTATGTATCTTTTAAATCTGATAAAAACTAAGCCAATAGAAGTTTTGAACATGATCGCATCAAATATCGAAATAGTGTGGATATGAATGAAGGCTTGAATGCGGTAGCATAGACATCGGAACGATTTCAATCTAGTTTAAACTTAACTAAAGCTAAGTGAAGCCTTTAACTAATCTGTGGTAGGCATGTGTCTACACATACCTAATGACTTCTCCACCTATGTATGCTAGTGAATATGGGTCTTCAGTGTGCATATTCACACTTTGTAGAAAAATTTCATGGAAAAATGTTTTTAGTTTTTGCTTCAGAAAT